AAAACCCCCCCCCCCCACATACCCATTCACATTGCCACCGCGGGAGGGGGATGAGTTCAAGTTGAAGCAATAATTCGAGCGGGATAACAGTCTCAAATTAAGAATATTTGAGAGAGAGCCTTGGGGGCTCTACAATATTATAGCATTTCACTGGGATCTCAAAATAATGGTTTTGAAATGATCATCGGGAGATTAAATTTACACTTGAAAGACGTGAGAAATGCCCTGGTACATATTGAGCCCATCGGATTTTCTTGATGTATCTATGTGGGCATGTATACGTCTATATAACTTAAAGTTTATCCAACGGAATGGATCCATGCTTTATTTGCTACCTCCTTGAAGAGCCGATGGGTTTCCTCCCTCCCACCCCAAACGAAAAACGCAATGCACCTGAGGTTTTCCTTCAACTTATATCTCTTCTTATCGTCTCATCTAACAGCGTAAAAAATGTCAATATTTTCCATCTATTCTTCTGGTAGATATATGATCATATATTGGAACTATGTGAGCATCGCTCAGTCTTGCTAAAGATAAAGAATATATATATGCAATTGGGTGAAGGAAAAAAATGGCATAAAATAAAACTTCAATACCATTCTTTTGAATATTTTCATAAATATTCATAGAAATGTCGTTTGATCTGATGGTCTAATGTCTAATGACAGACTGAGACTCAAGGACAATAGGTCCGTCATTAAAAGTCATTTCAATTAGATACCCGTGAACTTTCTTTTTCGAGATTCTTAAACTCAATAAAACTTTTATACGACGAAAAAACACCTTATGAGTGGCTCAAGGCTTGGGGGCCCTTTTATGAAACGTGGACACGTTTCACAAAGTTTCTCCTCCAGGGTCCTCCAGTGCCCTACCTTTTTTCATTTTTCTGTTTCAAGATCTTTCCTTCTGCGGCATTACTTTTATGATTCCTTCTTTTTCTTCCATTTTACAATCACTAGATATGATGTTCTCATGGAGTATTATTTCTCTCTTTTAGTGGACGTGTCGGATAGTATTCCAGGTGATTCCAATTCCGTCTTGCGATTGGTGATGCAACTTGAGTGTCACACGTTCGAACACTGAATAAATTTAAGAGTTTAATTCATTGGAGGGTTTTACTGGAATTCATTTTCTCCATAAATTTTTTTTTTTAAATCGATCGATTCAAAATTGCATTATGATTTTTTCAGTTCCCTGGGCCTTATTGTTCCAAGCGTTGAAAGCTAGTATTCGTATTAAATTTTCATCCTCCCATTCAGTTAAAAAAGTAATAACGGCACCGAGTGAGTGTTACGTTGGCATCGCTTTGTAGAACATCATTCCTTGCGCTTCTCGCTTTTTATATGACTCAAAGGGACAACGATAACGAGATGTCATAACCTTGAGTTTTAATAAATCCTCAGATAAATGCGAATTTTCTTCAATAGAAATATGAGACATGGGTTTTTTGTCCATCATTATAATCAATAAAATGATAGGGACCATCACTGTGAGATTGATGCACAAGAAGAAAGAATTGTGGATTTTTCCCCAGTCTCGTGTCTAAACACAATAGTGAAAATATTCAGAGCTAGCCGTAGGGCCATCCGAGGATCAGTGGTGACTCTACCTCAACAATCCTCTTGACAATAGGTAAAGTAAGGAAAAGGTCAACATTGCGATGCTATTCTTGACTGAGCGAAGACTGGGTAACTTACAATAATTGCGTCTGCACTAGCTCTCTGCATACCAATGCCAACTTGTATATGTAGAAAGAATGCATTCGAGGGCTGTATATAGCCCAAGTCTTTGAAACTTTAGACAATTTCCATAGAAAATATCCTCCCGAGTACTCTAAATTTCTATCATAGCGATTTCGGCTGTTTGAAAGCATGAAACGTAGTCTTCCACTTTTCAGTCCATTTCTATGAAATTATATTCATCTCAAACCATTCTCATTTTTTTTCCTCTAATTCCTCTCTGTGGAGAAAAAGGTTGGAACAATGCTGCTAAAATAAACATCAACGATGAAAAGGCGAAAGAGGAATATGACTGGATAATAAAACTGAAGGATAAGAATGATCCTTCAGATTGTGAAAAAGAAAATGTAACAAAAAGTATAGTGGGACAGATAAAAAATGTTGATATGACAGTGTTGTGCGAAACCAGGCATCGTTCCATGCAGGGGTTCGTATATGACGCTTATTGGGGATGGCTTTTATTTTTATAACCAAGAGAAATGGTGAAGGTAAGCAGTAGACTTTTAACGTAGCTGTGAAATGGATCGTTAAAGGAATACTGAAGTACCTTCTCCAAGGATCATCTAGACAGTTCAAGGCGAGGAAATAGTTTTCCAGATCCATAACTATGCCTGGGATCAATTCTTTTTTTTCTTATGAATCGAGGGAATTGACGGGTCAACATCAATATTCAATTTATCCATCCATAAAAAAAATCATTATTGAGTTAAGAAGTATAGATGAAGTAATTACTCTCTCAATTGTAACAGTAATGAGCTTGAGAGTTTGTCATTGTAGTACTCTGGAAACACTTAATCGGATAAAATTGTTCATTTTCACATTGAGAAGTATCACTCCAGCAGCAAGCACTCGTATAACCAGAAACATCATTAGGAACTTGATTAACAGAAGAATGAAGAAAGAGAGAACAGAGGGTGAGAGACATATCATTGAGTATCCACTTGTTGCTTCTTCACCCGTACGACATTTCCACTGTTTGCCGCATACTTAACATTTACCTTTTAATGCATATTTCTAACTGGTCTTATTTCTTATTTTTCAAGAGATAATGAAATTGCAATGAGAGTATTTTATGCAAAATTACATTTTAAAAATTGAGGAAGAGGTATATTTCAATTAAAAAATCGCCAGCTTCTAAGTAATTAATTGGTTAATTGAATAAAACAAAAATAAATGTCATTAGCGGCGTAAAAATTAATGACTCAATTGAAAATGATTTCGATAAAAAATGGACAATTTGATAGTCCAATACTTGGCACAACGCCGGGTTTTCGTGTTGACCCAGGACCGAGCCAGCCATTTACACCAGTGTCTATTTCACTCATATTACCAACCAAAAGGCACTACCACAGTGTGCATCTCGACGTGAATTAATTGCCTATAAAGTCAAACTGCTATTTTTATGGACAACAGGGTCCAATTACACTCGCTCGTTTTTCGTGATTTCGTTGCTGTAGAACTTGTTTCATTCCCTACAGAATGAGTCAGATTGCAGTGCAGAGTGAGATAACTGCAATACTGAGGTCACGAATTGACAGCTGACCACACTAGCTGTTAATGGAATCAGTGATAGCGTTGGAATAGAATAAATGGTCAGCGCCGCCGGATTTCAGAGATAAGGGCAATTCAAAAGCTAGCATT